CCTAGTAGCTTCTTGTTACTAGTAGCAAGGCCAGGAGCTACTAGTAGCGTCCTGGCTCCTAGTAGCGATGCCCTTTGTTCCTAGTAGCTTCTTGTTACTAGTAGTAAGGCCAGGAGCCCCTTCTTATTGAGTCCTTCAGACGACCTCAGGAGCCTCCCGCCACGGACTCCTCCGCCGCGCCGGCCGCGGCGTCCGCGGCGTCCCCGGCGGCGGAAGCGGCGGAGTCCAAGGCTGAGGAGCCGAAGGCGGTGAAGAGGTTCTGTGAACGTGGAATAGGATCATATAGGTATATCAGAAGTTTAGGGGGAAGGTCTGGTTGCTCAGCTTGCCACTTGTTCAGTGCGAACTTCTTGTTCCACCTGTTCCGACCCAAAGGCAAGCCCCAGTCGTGGGCACGGATTGCTGTCCGCCTTCAGGCGGAGCTGACCAGCACAACAGATGGAAAGGAGGCTGACCAGGGGGGGCCTGGTCGTGTGGGTCGGGCGTTTGCGGGGTTCCTTTATGGATTGGGGCTTCTTAGGCCGTGTGGGGCTCAAAGTTCTGGGGAGGTGCTTGTTTTGGTTGGAGCATGTTCGACAAGGGTTAGCATTTCCAAGATATGATGCATTTTGTAGACCTTCACCAAAACTTCCAGACCCCACTCATCTTCATGACCCAGGGCCCAAACAACATTCCAATTGACCAAGCCACCTGCAAACTTGCTGGTCTCATATGTCCTAGAAACTGACAGAATCAATCATATTTGGCCAGCTCTCAGTCCCACCCAGTTCATCATTGGAGCATTGTGTGAGGTGCCAATGGAGCAGAAGGTGCAGCTCGCCGCAGCACCCCAGGCAGGCCGCAGCACCCAGGGTGCTGGGTGTTTCTCAGTTGGTTGTACTCGTATGAAGAGGTCAGCAAGCCTCGTGGTTGGCAGTTTGCCCTTCCCAAACGAGCTTGTTGTCCCTGGTGTTGGGTTTGTCCGAACGTGTTGACCGTCTCAACCATGGAAGTTTTGACCGGGTCTTGCATGGAATGAACTCACTCGCATGGTGACTCCCTTTACAGAGGCCCCAAATAGATCAAGAAACTAGAAACAGTGTTTATGCTTCCTCAGGCCTTGGTCCCTAATAATTAATAGAGTTTCAATTGGTGGCTTTAACGACATGGACCATGGATGAAATGTTCTTCATGTTTCCACACAAGCCCATTGCAAGTTTCTCCCAACTGTTTGCTGTAGGAATTTGACTTTTGCATCCCATTTTTAACTCCAATGCCCTGTTTGTGAGCGGCATTGTGACTGATCCACTTATGCTAGGAGAGCTTTCAGGCTGCTTCCAGATTCAATCGTGTTTCCGAAAACCACCAGCAACGGCCATTTTGCAATACCGTGGGTTCAATCCATTCATCCGCGTTGTTGAATTTGCTTAAACATTCATTGCGTCAAACATTGTTCATCCTGCAATCTCTTGTTACTTGTATAGTAAGTGTTGGACCATGTTCGATCTCTGCCCCCTGAGCACCCTTAGTTTTGGGAGCACCTTCGCTTTCTAGTCTGCTGGCAAATGCTCGGAACATCCTCCCAAGCATCTATCTGGAGAAACTCCCGATATGTTGGAGGCCATCGCTATTCATTAGGTGGAGGCCATCGCTATGTAGTGGGTTGGAGGCCATCGCTAGTAGGTTGGAGGCCATCGCTAGCAGTGTCTTGGAGAACGGATGAGAAAGGCCCGAAAGGCCCCTTTCGACTGGCCTAGCCGCCTAGCTGCCTGATCTCGGGACCGCTGCGGTGAGGCCGAAAGTTCGGCGCCAGCGAATCCGTGTACAGCAGCACCAGAGATGCCACTAGATGACAAGAGGGAGGTGGGAGAGCGCTTCGTCAGGTGCTTCTTTGCTTGAGCAAAATGGATGTCCAATTGACCTGAGGCTTTTTGCTGACCTGTTATATGCCCTGAGTTTTGGAGTCTTTGCTGAGCTTTAGCGAGCTGAGCAACTGTCCGGCTCCCCTGATCGGTTCTTTTTGGAATGAACAGGTGAACGACAAGAGACGTCTCATGTCTCAGTAGGCAGCTGAGCACAGGGAACCGCACGGGGTTGAAGTTTGAGCTGCGAAGTCCGATCAAGAATCATACAGAAGAAGTTTCACTGTGATCAGATGGGCAAGAAGGCGGGTTTGTAGGATTCGAAAGACCAAGCTATGACCCGTTTGGATGGTAAACAGACTTTCTGACTTTCTACCACGGCCCACAGTCATCCACAGTCACCCGGGAAACTCATCTTCCGCCATAGGCTTGAGGCAATGCAAAAGTTGGTGGATGCCACTGCGCAGGAGCAGAAGGGCTTGAAGGCGCCACCCCAAAAAGACCAAGCGAAGCCTGCAGAAGCTGTGAGGATCTCAGCAACTTCTGTGGGCCAAGCTTTTGGATCAATAGACAAGGTGTTTTCAGTCAATGGAAGAGCTCCAAGCAGAAACTGGAAATCCGCTCAAGGTTGCTTGGACCTGCCTGGGCACCCCCACTCAGGACTTGTTCGGAGAGCTCTTCTGTTCTTTTGAATCAATATTTTTGTGTTTGAACATGTGCCATGCGGAGTTAACAACATCGTTCCTTTTTTTATCGCCTCGATGACAGGCCATAGTTTTGGATGCAGAGACATCTCAATTCCACGAGCCATAGGTTCCTGAGGATTGTCTTTGGGGTGGAGCTAAAGTACATCCTCAGGAATGCCTGCCAACACCCATGGGAAACACTTCTCCACGAACGTGTGGAAGCTCCACATAGTTCCACCATGTTCCACCTTGTCCACGCGTTCATCGACACCTGTGACTGCTGGACGAACCGATCGGAGGAGGATCGATCCTAATTTGGGGATGGATTGTGATTCACCCACCATGTTCAACCTGCTCTAGGCCCACCACTTGAGACGACCATAATACGACCATCTTGATTTAGCGGTCCAGTCGACCGAAACAGCCGGATCGGTGGCCAGAAGCCTTTGGCACCAGGTGCAAGAGGTCCTGAAAGTGCAGTGTCTCAACCAGCAAGGAAGAGTGGAGCAGCGAAGAATCGGAGTGATTCTACTGGCGGTCAACATAAAAGTTCAGTGTTTTTAACCCGAAAGAACTTGAGTGAGTTGAGAGGACTGCAGCATCCGAGGATGAGTCCGGTCTTTTGGTGTGCTACCTCTTCTTTTCGATTGTCCTGATTTGGTGAAGAACTCATTTGTTTGCTCATGTCACCTTTCATATACACCTGGCCGGTGGGGGATTCCAAGCATCCGACCACTGCGCTCACCGATACACACTTGGAGGTTGGGCACCCCAGGTCCAAGTGCGCTGTGTGACGCGACACCGGACGTGGTTCCAGGAAGTTCGGTCGGCGGTCTTCCCTTCCTCTGATGAATAGTACTGGTAATAGCTTCTTGTTCCTAGTAACGGTGGCCTCCAACCTGCTGGCGATGGCCTCCAACCAATCAGCGATGGCCTCCAACCCAATAGCGATGGCCTCCAACCTACTAGCTTCTTGTTACTCCTAATTTGCTTTCTGAATCTGATCCAGGTCTTTTTGGATCCTTCCTGTAGCAGGTCGCTGCATAATTTGTCGCAGATTTGGTTGGTGTGGCAGAGCAATATGATGAGATAGATACTTCCAATTGGGGTTGTCATGTTTCAGGGTCGGTCAGAGGAACTATCTCGACTATGTCAAACCAATATCGGACAACCCCAAGAAACCAAGGCATGGTAAAATTTGGTCCCAATTTGGGGCTCAACTGCAAACTCTGCCTAAGTACCTTTGAGGGGGCAAGTGGAGCCCTAGGATGGATTCTGTAATATTATGTAATATTATGTATAATCATGTTTCAGGTCTGGCAGGCTTGGGTGAACATGGCTTCATTTCTACCATATCTCACAACTAACGAATATTTTGGCTGTCGGAAGCATAGTCTGGGCATCCTCACCGAGCTGAAGCAACGCTGGCACTCTGTCGGCGAGCACCTCCGATCTTTCCAGACACCGGCAGAGAGGGCAGTGACTAGTGCACGCGATTTGGGGCTGACAGCCCTTCTTGTCGTGCTGACCTCGTGGGCCGACGTTACTTACCCCTATGGTTTGATAGCAGGCCTGCCAGCCGTGGGCACAGCACCCCAGCAGGGGCGGCTGCTCACGATGGAAGACGTGCTCGAGGACTGGGAGACCCACAACCATCGAACTATCGCTGCCCTCAAGCCAAGTCGTCACGAAGATGTCCTCCTGGGGCAATCCCTTCGGGGTGCTGTACAAGGCTTCTGTACTGAGCCCCTGACCCACACGCAGCTCATACGGGAACTCCGAGGCCAACCATTTCGGGTGATTCCTCGATGTGTCATCGTGCAGTCCTCAGGGAAGAAACGCATCATCGACAATGGCGACACAGGGGGACAATCTGAGCGATCCTCCGACTGGAACAAGCTGGTGCTGTGCTCCCCCCTTTCCTTCCGCGCAGCACATCAGTGCCGTAGCTTCCCTGATGTCAGACGAGCACTGGGCCCATCTTGCGAGTCAAGATGCATGGCAGTCCCGCGGCGAAGATTGGCCCAATGCCTACAGGCACTCCGAGGCTGCATAGTATGCTTTTGGCATGCGGATCGGGCGGAGCCGGCCTTCCAGGTCTACTCATCGCTGCTCTTCGGCCTACCTCTCGCAGTGACTTCGTTCAATAGATACTCACGGCTGATCGAAGCCTTAGGGAGAAGACTTACATTCAGTCTCGTCTCCATGTACTTTGATGATGCGCACATCACTGACCTCCAGTCTGGCCAGGGCTCTAGCCAGCGTGCATTCTGTCAGCTGAACGCCCTCTTGGGTACCCCCTTTGCGGAGGAGAAGAAGCAACTTGTGCAGCCTTCCGGCACCTTCTTGGGTTTGGACCACGACTTCACCTCCTTGGGCGATAGCATTGTCACCTTTTGGGCCCGCGACCGGCTTCTGCAGAAGACCCTGGCCATGTTGGCGGAAGCCCAAGGAGTCTCCAACTTGTTTGGGCAAGCTTCCAAGGTCTACGGCGTGTTGAATTTCCTTGAACAAGGCGTCTACGGAAGGCTGGGCTGCGCAGGATTGGCGGCCATCAAAGCACGCCAAGCCTAGCGATCCAAAGACCTCACACCCGAGCTCATGAACAACTTCGGTGTCGTCAGATCCATCCTCCACCATCGGCCTCGTCGCGGACTTCTAGTGAGGCCTTTGTTTGTCGTCGCTCTTCTGACGCCGCCCTGGAGGAACCAGGGTGTGGCTCCGGAGGATTTTTAATAGTGTGGCACGATCCGGCGGGACCGGTTCGAGAAGCGTTTATCGCCGACATCCCTGAAGATGTCTACCAGCTGTGGGACCCTGGGGACAGGAAGACAGCGCAGCTGGAGATGGTGATGATCATTTATGCGCTCGCCGCACGTGCAGACCTTTTCCGAGGTAGGAGGGGGATTTGGCTGATTGACAACGTGGCAGCACTCATGTCTCTTATCCGCAGCCGGTCGCATTCACCGGACCTCGAGCGCATGTGTGGCCTGATCCATATCATGTTGTACGCGCTGCGCACGTGGACGTATTGGGAATACATTCCTTCCAAGAATAACTGGGCAGATGCGATCTCCCGGTTAGGCTGGCACGATCCTTGGTGGCGTACCAACGGATTTAAACCTTTTTCCGTGACTTGCCCGTTTTGCCTCTGGTACCTGCCGCTCCCCGCAGTCATCAGAGTCATGGAACTTCTCTAAGTGCGTTGTGGGTTTTTGTAAGTGCATTGGGAGTGGTTACCGGAGTGACCGGAGGTCAACCACTGTTGGTCTGACTGTGGCAGACCTGCCAGTGCAGGTTACCCAGCGCAAATCCTGCAGAGGCTTGCAGGTTGAAAGACATCACTTGGCGAGTCGATGAAAAAGGAAAGGTGCCGTAGCAGCGTACCTTG